TCCTCCTCCTCCTCCTCCTCCTCCTCCTCCTCCTCCTCCTCCTCCTCCCCCCAGGAGAGGGCGGCGCGAGAGCGCGGAGGCACCCGCGCTGCGCGGAGCGCGAAGCCTGGCCGGCTCGGGGCACCTGCGCCCGCCGCAGCGTGCCCGGCGGCGGACCCCGGTCGCTCGCGCCGCCGGCGCCGAAGAAGCGAGCACGGCGCGCAGACATACTATCGGGCCGGACGAAAGGGGGGGATTGGGAAAGGGGGGGTTCCGAAATTTGCTGCATGCAGCTGGTTTCGGCCTCGCCGAGGGGCCCATTCCTCGATACATGGCCGCCTCCGGCGCCGGGAGGCGCCGGGAAAATCAGCTACGTGAGCTGATTCTCACCCCCCCCCTTTGCTATCCCCCCCCTTTCGCCCGACCCGATACTAGTGGCCCACTACGTACACGCCGGTCGTTGAAAGCAGGATTTTATTTAATCGCTTCGCTCATTCCGCCGGCCCTGGAGCCCTCTTTGAGGTCTCTTGGGGGCCTCTTGGGGACCTCTTGGGAGTCTCTTGGGGCTCCTTGGCGGCGTCTTGGGGGCCCCCAGGGCCTCTTGGGGGGCTCTCGGGAGCCTCTTGGGGCAGGGGCGGGGGTAGTCGATTGCACCCCCTCCCCTCGGAGGCCCCTCAACGACCGGTCACGCCGGTCGTTGAAAGTAGGATTTTCTTGGGTTCCCAGATCCCAATCTGCTTCAAGCGCCTGCCTGCTCCGAGAGTCGGCACGCTTTCCCGCCGCGTCTCGTGGCTCCCCGGGAGGGCCTGGGCCCAATCTGCTGCATCCGCCTTCCTGCTTCCTGTCTCTACCTGCTTCTTCCGACCGACGTGTACGCTTCTGGAGCCCCGAGCGGAGTCCTCGCACCGGCGCGCGGGGCCCCTCCGGCGCCGACGTCCGGCGCGCTCTTGGGGGGGGCGCCCGGCTCCGATCCAGGACCTCCGCGCGGAGGTCCGAGAGGTCGCCCGCGCCTCCGTTTGTAGGAGCTGCTCGCTGGAGCTGCCTGTCGCCTTCGGCCGGTCCCGCTTGGCGCGCTGACAGAAAAGTCGTCGGGCTCGTCCTGGTCTCTTGCTCGCTCTCCTCTTTTTCGTCCCCTGCACCCTCTGTGATCCGCACCTGGCCCTCTTCCTCCTCCTTCGCGTCGTCGCCACCGTCCAGGAACACTGGATGGTGGTTGCCACGTGAATCCGCCTGCGTGTCATATTTTGAGACCGCGGCTTCCACGCCATTTCCCCATTGGCACGGGTGGGCTTCCCAGAGAAACGCGCACGATTCCAGCGTTCGCTTCGCTCTGGTTCGCTCCGTCGCCATCGCCCCACCCTCGGGGAGAGAAGAGGTACCCGACGTCAGGCGATGCGGCCTGGGTGATACAGACAGCGTGTGCGCAAAGGCAAGCCAGACCAAACGAGAACGAGAGAGACAGAGAGAGATCTTGGCACACATCTTCTCTTTGGCTCTCGGAATCCGCCTGTAGGCGGACATCCCCGACCCTTCGCAAGCTTCTTCTTCGCCAGGTCCGCGCGGGCTTCTTGGGAGGAGGAGAATGAGGAGGAGGAGGAGGAGGAGGAGGAGGAGGAGGAGGAGGGGGAGGAGGAGGAGGAGGAGGAGGAGGAGGAAGAGGAGGAGGAGGAGGAGGGAGGAGGAGAAGAGGAGGGGAGGAGGAGGAGGAGGGGGAGGAGGCTGGCCCTCTGGCGGCGCCTCTGGCGCCGCCCCGGGCGCGCTCCGCGCGCGGGGCGGAGGCGTCCGGCTCGGCTCCAAGAGCTCCGTGCGGACCGTGGACGGCTGGTGCCTGTGCCGCCTTTGCCCCTCGGTGTTCAGTCGGGCCTGTCCCCCTGCAGGGCGATTTTCGACGGAAAACAAAAACATACCCCCCAAAATAGTCAAACAATAGCCCACAAAATAGTCTGGGCACTGTTTGGGGGGTATTTTTGGACCTGCTTGGGGCACTTTTGATGCAGTCTTCATTCTTCGTCGAACCTCCCGCTGTAGGGGGACAGGCCCGACTTCACCTTCGTGCACGCCTGGACCTTCCACACTGCCCCGTGCTCTGCGGACGCCTCGTGCGACCTCTGCCGATCACGTGATCCGCGCCGACGCGGGGCGGGCGGGGTGGGCCCGGGCACGCCCCTGAGCTGCCGTGTGAGTGTGTGTGTGTGTTTCCCCCCCCCCCCCCACCACCCCCCCCCCCCCCCCCACCCCCCCTTATATATATATATATATATATATATATATATATATTATATCATTATATAATATACATACACACATAAAAAGAAAAACATAAAAAACAAAAAACGACGCGAACATCGGGACAAAGTCGGATCGGGATAACTCGAAATCTCTGAGAAGCGGCGGGTTTGGAGGATGTCTTGGGCGCCGCGGCCGCTCCAGAGCGCTCCGGAACGCTCTGAGAGCGCTCCGGAACGCTCTGAGAGCGGTTTATCCCGATCCTATAGCCCTGTGTCAAGGCTTTTTGTGGAGGGAGGCAGCGCCACGAGCTTTCCGATACCACTTTTCCCACGACGCTCTCCCCGAGACCTCGGACGTCTCGTTTTTCCTTCACCGCGGGCTCTGGGGGCCCGTTGTCGGCCCGTCGGGCCGGCGAGCCGTCGAACCCGGGCGAGACGCACGAGTTTGGGGATGGGGCCGCGAAGTCCGCGGGGTACCCATGGAAAAGACGCTCGGGTGCTGCCATGGGTGAACCTGGCCCGAGGTGGTCCCAGCTTTTCCGGGGAGGCTCAGGTGACCTCCAGAACACCCCTCACTCAGCGGGCGAAGAACGGTACAAAATAAACCTTTCCGCCGTCGGGGACGCCTGCCCCTTGGCGGCTGGAAAGTTTATATCCCTACGGTGCCACCGTAAGGGTATAAACTTTCCAGCCGCCCTGGGACAGGCGCCCCCGATAGCGAAACAGTTTAGTTCATACCGTTCTTCGCCCTTTTACTCAACTCCTGGCAAGGCACAGCATCTGCGGCACGAGCTGAACCCTGAAGAGAAAACAGGCGTGTCCGTTGTCGCGCGCCCGCTTGCGTCCAGCTTTTTTTTTTTTTTGTTGGGGGGGGGGGGGGACGCTTGCAAAGCATTTGTTTGATTTGTTAGTAGTAGTAGTAGTAGTAGTAGTAGTAGTAGTAGTCAGTAGTAGTAGTAGTAGTAGTAGTAGTAGTAGTAGTAGTAGTAGTAGGTAGTAGTAGTAGTAGTATAGATAGTAGTAGTAGTAGTAGTAGTAGTAGTAGTAGTAGTAGTAGTAGTTGGTGGTGTAGTGTTGTTGCTGTTGTTGTGGTGTGCTGTTGCTGTTGCTGTTGCGTTGCTGTTGTTGTTGTTGTTGTTGTTGAACATTATTACTTCTAAAGAATAATTATTGTTGGGACCCCTGGTGCGCGACCCCCCTCCAAAACCTAGGCCGCAGCTACATTTTCATCATTTTTTAGCGAAAGCTTCAGAAAAGTGAATTATTACCGGATCCGGTTGTTTTGTTGTACTCCGTTTTCCCTTGCAAAAAACACTATAAAATGAAAATTCTTGTTCTTACTTGATCAAATTGCAAGAATCCCTTGCAAAAAAATAAGGTAAAGTGGACATTCGTGCGCGCAAGACGAAATCCTTCCAAAACCTTAGGTTTCGTAACGATTTTAACATAAAAACATCAAAAACCCAATGGTTTTTTAAGAAAAAATTGTCAAAATGTCCTTCCGCGCGCGCTGTCCGAATCCCACAAAACCAATGGTTTTTCAACATTTATGTTACATGAGCTCGCGCGAGCTACTTTTTCTTGTTCTAACATAATCAAATTTCAATAATCCCTTGCAAAAAATAAGGTAAAGTGGACATTCGCGCGCGCAAGACGAAATCCTTCCAGAACCTTAGGTTTCGTAACGATTTCAACATAAAAACATCAAAAACCCAATGGTTTTTCAAAAAAAAATGTCCAAATTTCATCCCGCGCGCGCTGTCCGACTCCCACAAAACCAATGGTTTTTCAACATTTATGTTACATAAGCTCGCGCGAGCTACTTTTTCTTGTTCTTACATAATCAAATTTCAACATCCCTTGCAAAAAAAAGTAAAGTGGACATTCGCGCGCGCAAGACCAACAAAAAACACGACGATCTCAGGAACTTGCCCCAAAAATGTGACCAACTCCGCTCTCTCTGTCTCTCTCTCTGTCTGCTCTCTGTCTCTCTCTCTGTCTGTCTGTGTCATGTATTGTATGTCACAATTGCAGGATGCTGGGCACACGCGCGCCCCGAATAAGTGACCAAGTTCTGTGGGTGTGTACCCCACGCCAGTGTAGTAGCCACGGTCGTCCGCACGCCACGAAGTGAAGTGTCCCAACGTCATAGGGCGGGAAGCTGGGTTTGGGTGGTCGCGAAGAGTCGTTTGGATATTTGGTAGAGCTTGAACTGCCCCCCCACGAAGTGGGGGTATTGTCTCGCGTCGCATGAAAACCCTGGCACTGGTGAGAACACTGAGCGTTCGGGTAAAATGATTGTTGTTGTTGTTGTTGTTGATACAGGCGGGGCAAGCCCCCCCGGGGGGGGGAGGGGGGGAGGGGGGGGAACAACACAACACAACACAACGCACCCCTACAGGAGGATCCTGTGGGATCCGTACAGGGTTCCATAGGATTCCCACACGACCCTTACAGGGTTCCATAGGACGCCCATACAACCCCTTCAGAGTTCCATCGGACTCCCATTCGACCTCCACAGGGTTCCATCGGAGTCCCATAGAACCCCTACAAGGTTCCATCGGACTATTTCGGCGCTCCCCTCACGCGGCTCGTGGCCCTACAGGGGGCGCAGCCGAAGGCTTCGGGACCATTTCGGCGCACCCCTCACACGGTTCGTGGCCCTACAAGGTGCGCGGCCGAAGGCTTTCGCGGCCCCACATGGGGCGCACCCGAAGGCTTCGGGCCCATTTCGGCGCACCCCTCACACGGTTCGTGGCCCCACAGGGGGCGCAGCCGAAGGCTTCGGGCCCATTTCGGCGCACCCCTCACACGGTTCGTGGCCCCACACGGGGCGCAGCCGAAGGCTTCGGGACCCTTTCGGCGCACCCCTCACACGGTTCGTGGCCCCACAGGGACCGCACCCGAAGGCTTCGGGCCCATTTCGGCGCACCCCTCACACGGTTCGTGGCCCCACAGGGGGCGCAGCCGAAGGCTTTCGCGGCCCCACATCGGGCGCACCCGAAGGCTTCGGGTCCATTTCGGCGCACCCTTCACACGGTTCGTGGCCCCACATGTGGGCGCAGCCGAAGGTTTCGGGTCCATTTCGGCGCACCCCTCACACGGTTCGTGGCCCCACATGGGGTGCACCCGAAGGCTTCGGGTCCATTTCGGCGCACCCCTCACACGGTTCGTGGCCCCACAGGGGGCGCAGCCGAAGGCTTCGGGTCCATTTCGGCGCACCACTCACACGGTTCGTGGCCCTACAAGGGGCGCAACCGAAGGCTTTCGCGGCCCCACATGGGGCGCACCCGAAGGCTTCGGGTCCATGTCGGCGCACCCCTCACACGGCCCGTGGCCCCACAGGGGGCGCAGCCGAAGGCTTCGGGGCCATTTTCGGCGCACCCCTCACACGGTTCGTTGCAACACACGGGGCGCAGCCGAAGACTTCGGATCAATTTCGGGACACCCCTCACACGGTTCGTGGCCCCACAGGGGGCGCAGCAGGCTTCGGGTCCATTTCGGCGCGCCCCTCAAACGGTTCGTGGCCCCACAGGGGGCGCAGCCGAAGGCTTTCGCGGCCCCACATAGGGGCGCACCCGAAGGCTTCGGGTCCATTTCGGCGTACCCCTCACACGGTTCGTGGCCCCACTTTGGGCGCAACCGAAGGCATCGGGTCCATGTCGGCGCACCCCTCACACGGTTCGTCGCTCCACACGGAGCGCAACCGAAGGCCTCAGGCCCATTTCGGCACACCCTTCGCACGGTTCGTGGCCCCCTGGGCGCAACCGAAGGCATCGAGTCCATTTCGGCGCACCCCTCGCACGGTTCGTGGCCCCACACGGAGCGCAACCGAAGGCTTCGGGACCCTTTCGGCGCACCCCTCACACGGTTCGTGGGCCCCCAGGGGGCGCAACCGAAGGCTTCGGGCCCATTTCGGCACACCCCTCACACGGTTCGTGGCCCCACACGGGGCGCAACCGACGGCTTTCGCGGCCCCGCAAGGGGCGTCCCGTTGGCGCTCTTCCCCCGCAGGGCGGGCTTGGTGTTTCCTTTCCACGGGGCGTTTGGGCGTTGATAACCTCGCTTCGCCGCCCTGGGCCCCCTCCGTCTCCTCCGCAGCCGCGCTGGCCCTAGCCTTCGTGGCCTTTCTCGGGGGCCCCACGGGCCCCCGCGGGCGCCCGAGAGCCGGGCATGGAGGCGCCCCGGGCGTTTTCCGACCCCGTCTTCCGCCTGCTGCTCGGGGTGCACCTCCGATCTCTGGTGAAAAACGCACGCCGCAACGTGCGGCGGTACGTTCGCCGCCATGGCGGCGCGAGCTGCAGAGGCCGACCTGGAGCTGGCGATCCAGGATCGGCGGCGCGCGGAAGGGGGTGGCGCGAGGGGGGTTCATAGAACGGACGGGCTTCTGAGGAGCCTTCGGGGCTTTTCTTTTTTTTTGCTGGGGGGGGAAATATCTACTAAGCCTTCTGAGAAGCTTTCGCGGGGAAGCCCCCCCCATGGCACCGCCCCCCTCTGCGCGCCGCCAACAGGAGCATGTGCGCATCATCCAACAGGTTCCTCCTGGTCTCACTGCGGATGGTAGCGTGGAGTACTTCGCTTGCGCGCCCGTGACAGAGCTGCAGCGCGGCCGCGTGAGCACGTGGGCGACTATGGACTACAGGGCGTCGGCGCTGGGGGGCTGTGCTGCGTCTGCGATGGAGGGCTTCGCGGGGCCCCTCAACGAGACCGCGGCTGCCGACATCGCCGACGCCTGCCTCGCCATCTCTGGCGCCGATGCCACCTTCAGTTACAGAGCCCGCTGCGATCTGGTGGCGGGATGCCGCAGTAGCGGCCGCGAGTGTGGGCAGCCCTCCTTCTTCCAGGAGGTGCACGGCAGTATGCTGGCTTCCTTCCGCGCCATGCGCGCCTGCCTCAGCGGCATCTTCGCCATCCTCGTCGTCCTCGTCGTCCTGCGCGTCTGCTTCAGCGGCATCCTCCTCATCTTCGTCGCCTTCTGCATTATTCTTGAGCTGCGGCGTCGGGCACTTGAGCACTGCGCCATCGCAGGCGGGGAGAGGAACAGCAACTTGTACGACAAGGCGTACGTCAACAACGCGGCGCGCAATCCAGTCTCAGCTGGCCCTGCTGCCGCGGCTGAGGGCTTCCAGATTTTCGTGAATTCTTGACGCTTCGCGTATCCCCACCAACCCATCCAGGAGCGGTGCCCAGGTGAGTTGAAGTGATCAGGGACGTGAGGGAACAGACAGTGGAACACAGAGCTGGGGAGGCCGTCTGACCGCAAGAGGGGGAATGCGGAGGATGAATCGGAGGAGGAAGAGGAGGACGTGGACGAGGGGGAGGAGCATGGGCAGGTGGGGGTGAGGGGGGGGGGGGGGGGGGGGGGGGGGGGAGGAGGGAGAGCGAGCAGGAGGAATAGGAGGATGATGATGAGGAAGAGGAGGAGGAGGAGAAGGAGGAGGAGGACGAGGTCTTGGGGCACCTTAGAGCATCTTGGCGGCCATCTTGACGCATCTTGGGTCATCTTGAGCCATCTTGGAGATCGCCGAGGGCTCTCTGAGGCCCTCTTGGGGCCATTTTGGGCCAAAAAGGAGACTCTGAGACTTCGTGCCCCCCCCCCCGTCCAGGTTTCGGGGAAGGGGTAGGGGGTGAGGCGAAACCCTTTCCGAAGGGGAAGAAGAGGGTTGGAAGAGGAAGCTCCCTAAACCACCTACGCCCTCAAGGGCTGGCCCTCGTAGTAGTAGTAGTAGTAGTAGTAGTAGTAGTAGTAGTAGTAGTAGTAGTAGTAGTAGTAGTGGTAGTAGTAGTAGTAGTAGTAGTAGTAGTAGTAGTAGTAGTAGTAGTAGTAGTAGTAGTAGTAGTAGTAGTACTAGTAGTAGTAGGAGTAGGAGTAGTGGTAGTAGTAGTAGTAGTAGTAGTAGTAGTAGTAGTAGTAGTAGTAGTAGTAGTAGTAGTAGTAGTAGTAGTAGTAGAGCACCTTTGCGGCCATCTTGACGCATCTTGGGTCATCTTGAGCCATCTTGGAGATCGCCGAGGGCTCTCTGAGGCCCTCTTGGGGCCATTTTGGGCCAAAAAGGAGCCTCTGAGACTTCGCCCCCCCCCCCGTCCAGGTTTCGGGGAAGGGGTAGGGGGAGGGGCGAAGCCCTTTCCGAAGGGGAAGAAGAGGGTTGGAAGAGGAAGCTCCCTAAACCACCTACGCCCTCAAGGACTGGTCGGATTCCATCGCGCTGGGCGTGGGCGCCACCGGCGCGATCATTTCCGTGAAGGACAAAATCCACGACAGGAAGGGCACCCCTCCAGACCATCAGTGCCTGCTTTTCGACGGCGGGCAGCTGGCAGACGGGCGCGAGCTTTCTGATTGCAACATCAAGCGAGATTGCGCGTTGCGCATGACTTCGCGCCTGCGCGGCGGCGCGCCGAAGAAGGCAAGGAAGCCAGGGGCTCTACGGGATGCAGGTGTACCGGCGGATGAGCCGTGGGATGACCGCCCGCAGCAGTTGTCGCAGGATCCCATCGAGCCCCCCAGCCAGGCGCCTGCTGCGGAGGCAGGGGGGGCAGGGGGCCGGCAGGCGAAGAAGAGGGGGGCGCAACCAGCGACCGCAGGCGCTGCTGGCGCCCCCGCAGCAGGCGCTGCAAGCGCAGCAGGCGCCCCAGCAGGTCGGCGCAAAACGGAAGGCCGCGGCGCCGCCTGCAGCGGCAGGCGCGCAGGCAGAGGACGGGGCGGCAGAGGCGGAGGCGAACAAGTGCAGGAATGCGCTGAACGCGGCCAGGTTTTGCCTTGCGTGTGGCCGTGTTCGCGACCAGGCTTTCCGACGCAGAACGGGCGCTGGAAATGTGCATGAGGTTCGTCGTTTGACAGCCGCAGAAAAAGAAGCTTACAAAGCTGATTGGCACGCGAAGCGCCAGGAGAGCGCCGACGACAGGGCTGCCAGACTTGTTCGTGGGCGGGAGGCGACCCGCGCCGCGCAGGCCGCGCGGGCGCGTGGAGTCCCTGGAGGGATCCACAGGGATTCTATAGAGTCCCTGGAGGGATCCACAGGGATTCTATAGAGTCCCTGGAGGGATCCAAAGACTCCTAGAGGGTCCCGAACGGATTCCGATGGGAATCCGTAGGGAGCGTGTAGGGTTCACAGAATTCATACAGAATTCGTTGTGTTGTGTTGTGTTGTCCCCCCCCCCCCCCTCCGACTCGCGGGGGGGCGGGGCCGGCCTCCTCCACTGTGGCGGGCGCGGGAAGTGAAGCCCCGGACCCCGGGGGGACCATGCCGGCCTGTACCTTGTTGTTGAACATTATTCCTTCTAAAGAATTATTATTGTTGGGACCCCTGGTGCGCGACCTCTGCGCCGCGCCTAGGCCGCAGCTACATTTTCATCATTTTTTCGCGAAAGCTTCAGAAAAGTGGATTGTGTCCGGATCCGGTTGTTTTGTTGACGCCGTTTTCCCTTGCAAAAAACAATAGAAAATGAAAATTCTTGTTCTTCTTGATCAAATTGCAAGAATCCCTTGCCAAAAATAAGGTAAAGTGGACATTCGTGCGCGCAAGACGAAATCCTTCCAAAACCTTAGGTTTCGTAGCGATTTTAACATAAAAACATCAAAAACCCAATGGTTTTTTAAGAAAAAATTGTCAAAATGTCCTTCCGCGCGCGCTGTCCGAATCCCACAAAACCAATGGTTTTTCAACATTTATGTTACATGAGCTCGCGCGAGCTACTTTTTCTTGTTCTAACATAATCAAATTTCAATAATCCCTTGCAAAAAATAAGGTAAAGTGGACATTCGCGCGCGCAAGACGAAATCCTTCCAGAACCTTAGGTTTCGTAACGATTTCAACATAAAAACATCAAAAACCAAATGGTTTTTCAACAAAAAAATGTCCAAATTTCATCCCGCGCGCGCTGTCCGACTCCCACAAAACCAATGGTTTTTCAACATTCTGTTACAGGAGCTCGCGCGAGCTACTTTTTCTTGTTCTAACAAAATCAAATTTCAATACTCCCTTGACCAAAAAAAAGTAAAGTGGACATTCGCGCGCGCAAGACCAACAAAAAACACGACGATCTTAGGAACTTGCCCCAAAATGTGACCAACTCCGCTCTCTCTGTCTCTCTCTCTGTCTGCTCTCTGTCTCTCTCTCTGTCTGTCTGTGTCATGTATTGTATGTCACAATTGCAGGATGCTGGGCACACGCGCGCCCCGAATAAGTGACCAAGTTCTGTGGGTGTGTACCCCACGCCAGTGTAGTAGCCACGGTCGTCCGCACGCCACGAAGTGAAGTGTCCCAACGTCATAGGGCGGGAAGCTGGGTTTGGGTGGTCGCGAAGAGTCGTTTGGATATTTGGTAGAGCTTGAACTGCCCCCCCACGAAGTGGGGGTATTGTCTCGCGTCGCATGAAAACCCTGGCACTGGTGAGAACACTGAGCGTTCGGGTAAAATGATTGTTGTTGTTGTTGTTGTTTGTTTGCTGGTTTGTCTGTTTGTTTTTGTACGCTTGCAAAGCATGTGTTTGATTTGTTTGTTGTTGTTGTTGTTGTTGTGGTTCTGTCAGTCTTCGGTTTTTGGATGTCTTCGGTTTTTGTTATGCTGTTTACGTGCTCGTTTCCTGCACTTTTTTGCTGCTTCTCTCCTGCTTCCGGTGTGTCCTGGGTGTTATCCTGCCTGCGGCACGTCGCCGCGCTGCCACGGCGGGCGCGCGCCACCAGGGAAGGAATAGGGTGGGGCCCCCTGTCCCCGGCGCTCCCCGGGCCGCGAAGAGGGCCCCCTCCGGCCGAGCTGGAAGTCGGGCCTGTCCTCCTACAGTCGGGAGCTCCCAAGCGGGGTGGTGACCGCGCCGTGTGGTGAGTCGGTGGGGATTCGGGGTCACCGCACGGTTTTGGGACTCGGGTCGTTCTCCGAGGATGTCTCGGGCGACTGGGGCCTCCAGGGTCCCAAAACCGTGTGGTGACGGACCGTGCGGTGAGGTCTGTGCGGATTTCGAGGTCACCGCCGGGTCTGTCACCGCACGGTTTTGGGACACCCAATACAGGGGGATTTTGGTCGGAAGCTGGGGCATGCACATTACCAGTGGCGGGCTGCTGTTCCATCCCAGGAAGTTTTGAGGGTCGGGGGCGGCGTCGGGGTGGTGCGGTGTCTACTTGTTTCCCCAGTGTCCCGTGGGAACAACACAACATGCATACACCAGGATGCCGCATGCACCATAATCCGTGTTCTTGCGCGAACCTCAGTGCGGGACCGGAAACAAAGACATCGGTGTATAGAGCTCGGTTCCTTATCTGGACGACAAATAAAAAATAGTAAAACATTACCTTGTGACGTACCCAACCCATTTGTATCATGGGAAACGAGGAGTTGGCCGAAACTTGCGCGGACAATCAAATTGCAGGATCCGTTTTTTGATATGTGAGCTACTTGGGACACGCGCCAATGGCATGATGCACAGGAGAACCATAAAAGAACGAGGGGCGACAACTACAGGCTCGAAGAGGACATGGGGAGTCGGGAACGAAGAGCAGGAGAAAAACGTGCGGGAAGCCCACTGTGCTGTGCCCCTCAGCAGCCCTCGAAAGTGGCAACAGTTTCACAGATTGCAGCCCCCCAGGGATGGCGAGGTCTAATCTGAGTCTGCGGTGAGTACCCACAGTGCTGGGCCCCTCAGCAGCCCTCGGAAGTGGCGACAGTTTCACAGATCGCAGCCCCCCAAGGATGGCGAGGTCTAGTATGAGTCTGCGGTGAGTACCCACTGTGCTGGGCCCCCCAGCAGGCCTCGAAAGTGGCGACGGTTTCACAGATCGCAGCCCCACAGGGATGGCGAGGTCACATTTGAGTTTGCGGTGAGTACCCACTGTGCTGGGCCCCTCAGCAGCCTTCGAAAGTGACGACAGTTTCACAGATCGCAGCCCCCCAGGGATGGCGAGGTCCCATTTGAATGTGGCAACAGTTTCAGAGATCGCAGCCCCCCAGGGATGGCGAGGTCCCATTTGAGTCTGCGGTGAGTACCCACTGTGCTGGGCCCCTTTCAGCAGCCCTCGAAAGTGGCGACAGTTTCACAGATCGCAGCCCCCAGCAGCCCTCGAAACGCAGCGACGAGCGAGGTAAGAACGTTGCGACCGTTTCACAGGTCGCAGCCCTCCCAGGGATGGCGAGATCTAACTTGAATCCGCCGTGGGTGCCCACTGTGCTGGGCCCCCCAGCAGGCCTCGAAAGTGGCGACAGTTTCACAGATCGCAGCCCCCCAGGGATGGCGAGGTCCCATTTGATCCGCCGTGGGTACCCACTGCGCTGGGCCCCCCAGCAGGCCTCGAAAGTGGCGACAGTTTCACAGATCGCAGCCCCCCAGGGATGGCGAGGTCTAATTTGAGTCCGCGGGGTGCAGACTGTGCTGGGCCCCCCAGCAGCCCTCGAAAGTGGCGACAGTTTCACAGATCGCAGCCCCCCAGGGATGGCGAGGTCTAATTTGAATCCAACCATCCGCGCGCAGGGATGGCCTTGTGAGCTGGGCCCCCCAGCACAGTTTCACAGATCGCAGCCCCAGGGATGGCGAGGTCCCATTTGATCCGCCGCGGGTGCAGACTGTGCTGGGCCCCCCAGCAGCCTCGAAAGTGGCGACAATTTCACAGATTGCAGCCCCCAGGGATGGCGAGGTCCCATTTGAGTCCGCCGCGGGTGCAGACTGTGCTGGGCCCCCCAGCAGCCCTCGGAAGTGGCGACAATTTCACAAATCTCAGCCCCCCAGGGAGGCGAGGTCCCATTTGAGTCCGCCGCGGGTGCAGACTGTGCTGGGCCCCCCAACAGGCCTTCGAAAGTGGCGACAGTTTCACAGATCGCAGCCCCCCAGGGATGGCGAGGTCCATTTGAGTCCGCCGCGGGTGCCCACTGTGCTGGGCCCCCCAGCAGCCTCGAAAGTGGCGACAGTTTCACAGATCGCAGCCCCCCAGGGATGGCGAGGTCTAATTTGAATCCGCCGTAGGGCGTCACTCCGCTGGGCCCCCCAGCAGCCGTCGAAAGTGGCGACAGTTTCACAGATCGCAGCCCCCCAGGGATGGCGAGGTTCCATTTGAGTCCGCCGCGGGTGCAGACTGTGCTGGGCCCCCCCCAACAGCCTTCGAAGGTAGCGGCATTTTCACAAATCGCAGCCCCCCAGGGATGGCGAGGTCCCATTTGAGTCCGCCGCGGGTGCAGACTGTGCTGGGCCCCCCAGCAGCCATCGAAAGTGGCGTCAGTTTCACAAATCGCAGCCCCCCAGGGATGGCGAGGTCCCATTTGAGTCCGCCGCGGGTGCCACTGTGCTGGGCCCCCCAGCAGCCCTCGAAAGTGGCGACAGTTCCACACATCGCAGCCCCCCAGGGATGGCGAGGTTCCATTTGAGTCCGCCGCTGGTGCCATTGTGCTGGGCCCCCCAGCAGCCCTCGAAAGTGGCGACAGTTTCGCAGATCGCAGCCACCAGCAGCCCTCGAAACACACATCGCGGCCCCCAGCAACCCCCCAGCTGGCACGCAGCGACGAGCTAGGTCAAAGGCAGGGGGGAAGAGAGGGACGGGAAGGAAGGAAACAAGGAAGGTTCGCGCGAGCAGTGCTCTATTCAAAACGAGAACCCAACGCAGGAGGGTTGGGAAATATTTCAAGATGGTCAAAAATAGTCATGAAATCGTCCCCCGGTAGAGCCGAGGAGCGGCCCGAACACCAGAGGCCCCCTCTCTCACCGGGCGCGCGCCGCTGCTCGCAGAGCGGCTAACCCGCAGGCGTCCGACAAGAACACATGTCTGTAAGCCTCGGCCACGCGCAGAGGGGGGTAGGGGGAGGGGGGAAGGCTTCTTAGAAACACCCCCGCTTCTTAGAAGGCGCGGGCCTTCTCTATAAATGTAAGGCCGGCGCCTTCTAAGAAACAGCCTCCTTCTAAGAAGCCCTCCCCCCTACCCCCACCCCCTTGTGCGCGCCGCCAAAAGTCGGGCTTGTCCCTCTGCAGGGGGAGCATTCAATAATAGTAAAAACATAGTCTGGGGACGATTGTTTGACCATGTTTGGTATTTTTGGGGCATGTTTGGAGTATTTTTAATTGTGCGTCCAAAATCCTCCTGTTGGGGGACAGGCCCGACCTAAGTGTAGTTTCTCGTAGAGCCCCCCCCCAGCGGATCCAGGCCTTTTGGCGAGTGGTCACTTTGCGAGCAGTGGGACGCGCTCGTCGCCCCCTCCTGAGCCCAAGCCGGTCCTCGTCTCTGCGCCTTGCCAAAGGGCTGCACGTGATACGCGTTGCATCGCAATCGTTCAGCACCCGGCCGCATGCCTCTCGCTCCGGATCGTCATCCCCACGGCACGCGATGGGCCTGCAGTCCAGCACCGCTCCGCCGTCCAGGATAGCGTGCCCCCCCTGCAGCGAGGCGCTCCTGGGCAGAAGCGAGGGCATCATCGCATGCCAGCCTCCAGTGACTACACCATGCCTGTCGAAACTCAGGGTGCCGTTCAGTCGGGCCTGTCCCGCCACAGGGGGAATATGCAAAAATAGTCACAGAAAAAGTCTGGGGACGATTTTTTTACCTTTTCGGGACATTCTTGCGGCATTCTTGAGCCTTTTTGGTGTATTTTTCCGTACCTAGGCTTTGCCTAGAGGGTTCTTACTCTCTTTCTTAAAGGGGCCGGGCAGTGCACAGCGCCCCGGCCGGTTCCCCCAGTATCCGCCCCGCGGTTCCCGCAGTTACGTCCCCTTAGCTTAGCGTTGCTTATCTCATCTTAGCTTAGCTTATTCCCTACCTAGGCTCTGCCTAGAGGGTTCTCACTCTCTTTCTTAAAGGGGCTGGGCAGTGCACACCGCCCCGGGCGGTTCCCCCAGTATCCGCCCGCGGTTCCCCCAGTTACGTCCCCTTAGCTTAGCGTTGCTTATCTCATCTTAGCTTAGCTTATTTTATCTTAGCTTAGCTTAGCTTCATCTTAGCTCAGGTTTATCTCAGCTTAGCTTACCTTCTTCTTAGCTTCGCTGAGCTTTAGCATAGCAGAGAACAGCATAGCATATCATAGCGTAGCATAGCATAGCGCAGCACAGCATATCATAGCATAGCCCAGCATAGCGCAGCATAGCGCAGCATAGCATAGCATAGCATAGCATAGCATAGCATAGCAGAGCAGAGCAGAGCAGAGCATAGCGCAGCATAGCATGGCATAGCATGGCATAGCATAGCATAGCATAGCAACTAGTGCTGCTTCCCTAGGGGCTTCAGCTTCTAGGTAGGGTCGCACTGGGGTAATTCAAACATTTTCGCCCAAAATCCCCCTGTAGGGTGACGGGCCCGACCTGCGGGTGCCGCCCCGGAGCCTGCAGCAGTCGACGCGCCCCCCCCCCCGCGCGGCGCCCCGCGCATCGCCGCGCGGCCGCTCGGCCGCAGGGGCACGTCGGCTCCCTGGCGCTTGGCATCGCTCGGACGTGTGCATTTTTCCTTCGGCGAGGACCATCGAGGAGCATTCTTGATCACTTGGCGAAAAAACCACGCACGAAACCGAAAAAAGCACAGGGAATGGACGTCCGAGCGATGGCCAGTGGCGTCGCTCGGACGCGGGGACCGCGGCCAGGGCGTCTCGGGATCCCGGCGGCGCCGACCTCGAACGCGGTGGCCCGCGCCGGCCGTCGACGCTGTGCGAGGACGATCCACGATCAGAGGCGGCGAGAGGGGCGGATGGCCCAGGGGAGAGCAGCACATGCATTCAGGGGCTCCGAGGAGCCACGTCTTCAGTGCACAGTGCGCAGTGTACAGTGTACAGTGCAGTAGCAACGAACGCAGAGTCTCCTTGGAGGTGCAGACACAGAAGCGTCACGACGATTTTTTTTTTTTTTTGTTTTTTTTTTTTTTTTCTACCTCCGTAGTTTTCGGCCCGAGTCGCGAGAGAGCTTAAGCGCCAGTTGGGCTTCTCAAGAGCCCACGGGCCGGCGCTAACACTGACCATCGCCTGTTGAAAAACATCGTGCGCCCATCATGCACAGGGGCGTTGCCACACAGCTTTCGCACGATGGCCGCAGGCGAACAAAGTGAACAGAAGCGAGCTGCAGATGCTATTGCAGACTTGATGCGGGACGCCAAGGTTCTCCGCTTTGGTGGAGGGTCAGCGGCACCAGAGGCGGCACCGCCGGACGCCGCAAAGCTCCTCAAGGCCATGGCGGAGCAGTCCCAGGCGCAGGTCGAGCAGAGTCAGCAGATGATGGAGCTGATGCAGATTCAGCATCAGCAACATATGGCACACATGCAAAGCAACTTCATCGACATGATCAAACAAGTGGTGCCTCAGGTGGCATCGACACCACCTCCGCCGTCTCCCGCTGCCGCTGGAGCACCGGCGGCGATGGCACCAGCGGAGGGCTTTCTCATGAAGTTGCCGCTTCCGTTGATGAAGAACCTTGAGAAACTGACGCATGACCACGAAGAGAAGGCCAAGAAGCTGATCAAGGCACGCCATCTGCACAGCAAAACCGAGGAGGACGTGAAAGCCCTAGTCGACGGACATTACCCGAATGGTATCAGAGCGTTCCGGTCGCCCATCCACCAGGTTGAATTGGACTCGATTTGGGATCGGTGCGCGACCGGCGCCTACCAGTTCGATTTGTTGGGCACGGCGTGGACTGTGCCCAAACAGGCAACGCGCAGGGAGGCCAAGAGGATCGCCCACATGGCCCACGCCCATGCGTTGCGCAGCATCGATGCCGAAACCTTGCAGGGCAGCATCCAGCTGGCCATGGAACCGGCCTCCAAGCAGAAATTCATGATCGAGTGCCAGGGGCTGGTTGACAAGGTTTTCGCCATGCGTGCAACGGAGCTCGGCCTAGACGGGCCGATGGTCAAGCGCATCGACCCGAACGCCATCAAGGAGAAGTTCGAAACCCTGTACGCCCAGGCCGTCGAGAAGGTTGCCACGGCGGAGCAGAAACGCAAGGAATACGAGGAGAAGGCGAAAGAGAAGGCCGCCAAGCAAGAGGAGAAACTGCTGAAGGTGGCACCGGAGACGCTCTTCCAGGACGCCGTCTCCCACATCGCCTCCACGATCGTCGATAAAAAGTTTTCGAACTTGGACCAGCAGGCCCTTGGCGCCATGGCTGTGGACGCTTCGGCCCCGAAAGAGACGACCACCGGCGACCAGACCGACGCCGCCTCGAAGTTCGTCGCGTTGATGGCCCAGCCAAAAAACGGAGCCGCCCCGCCTGCTGGCCAGCCCGAGCCGCAGCCCGAGGGGCAACGCCGCCCCCCGAAGTGCAAAGACAAGAAGGGCAAAACCAAAGACAAAAGCAAGGGCGAGAGCAGCGAGGACAAAGCAAAGCCAAAGGCAAGAGCAGCCAGGACTAGGGCAAAGACACGGGCAATACCAGCTACAACGCGCCGAAGTCCGGACAGTGGCACTGGATCCCAAAGGGGGAACGTGGCCGTTGGAACGGACCAAACAAGGAAAAGGCAAAGGAAAGGGCAAAGACTCGAAAGGCAAAGGGCTTGGAGGAAGAGCGAAACATTGGCAGTGAAGGATGCCAGAGACCGCGGCGCTCATCTTCGGTCGTTTTTGCAATTGTTTTCTGGCTCCAACGTGGGTTTGCAAATCCAGATGTTGCAATATTGAAGACTGTCTGAACGAGTGCGTGTTTCGATTGCGAATCGAGCTCACTTAGGAGCTCTGCGCTCTGCAAGTGTCCCGTGGCCGATAGTGTGGCAGTTGGCTTGTCACAATCCAAAACACATCTTCTTCGCAAGAAAGTTGCCTGATTACCAGTCTTTGGCTGCAGACGTGAACCAGTCTGCAGATACGTTGAAATGGCGTTGGCGTTTCCTCGGCCCCCCGCGGACTGCGCGCATCAGAATTCCTGGCGTCGTAACGCCACCGTGTCCTCATTTCGTCCCAGTGCACATCAACTGCTGGGTCTCCGATTTGAAGTCGGTGGTGGCGACGGCTTTCGAGAATTGCAGGCGACGCTGGGCGCGCAGGATCCGACCGACCAATGTGTCGCCGCTCACAAAAGGGGCATTGCGGTTGATGTCGCAGTCGCCTTGCGTCGCGATACCAAATGACAAGGAAGTGGGGTTCACCCTTGTGCGCCGTTGCCATCGTCGTTTCATCGATGAACTCATTTTGCAGAATGGCAACTACGAGGAGGTCGCCCAGCCAATGCAATTCACTGGTATTATGGAGTGGTACAGTGACGTCGCTCAAGCTGTTGCGCGGCACGAGGACGATGAGTCGCTTGCTTTCCAGATCAAGCTCAGCATGCACGTCCCGGGAGCCAGCGTAACAGCCCTTCTCCAGAAAAGATGCAAGACCCATAAGCAGCCAGTAACTTTTCGAGCACCTCATACTCAGCGCAAGTACTCGTTCGCAGGCCTGTCCCGGTGGGTTTCAGGAGTCCGGTTTCAGGAGTCCCGCGCAGGTATCTGGACGCGGTCCCGTGGAATGTACGCGACGCCAGGGACGCAGCAAGACGTCTCAGGACGCGCGTGTTCCCTAGGAACATGCGCCGGGTAAAGGTAGATTTGAAGGAGTTCTTCATGAGTGGCGCGGCGGCGGAGCTGGCGCGGGCCGCGGGCCTGCACTTGCACGGCGATTTCAAGCTTCTGGTCCAACGCGCTCTACTTCTGCTACTCAGCTGTCAGTTCGTGGTCAGCCCCCGCGACCCCGCCACCCGTCATCAGGTCATCAAGGGGTCGGGGATGGGGTTGATCCACGGCGGCGACGTCGCTGACGCTTGCCTCACCAATCTGACGGAACAGTTCTTCTCCCAGGCCTCGCTCATCATAAATTTTCAAGTGTGGGTGTACATGGGGTTTTAAGACATCTTGGTAGGATGCACTAAGTACGAATTGTCTTCCAAACTTTTTAGGCTCATCCAGGGGCGCGCAGTCTACTGTCGCATGGTCGTGGACGAGATAGGGCATAGAGATACCCATTGGCTACAGCTGTGGGTCCATAGTGACTGTGGCAGGGCGTTCGCTTCCCCTGGCCTCAAAGATTCCGCCCTGGCCATTCCCCTGCCCCACTCGAGTGGCCACCCCATTCACGTGCATCGCTCGTGGCCGGCGGCCATGTTGCGTGCACTGTTTGACCTGTGTACGTTTCCTGTGCATAAGGAGTGGGCCAGAGCTGATTTTATACAGAGACTCACATTTGCGAATGCCCACCCCTCCCTCTTAGACGAATTGCGGTCCTGGGAGCCTCGCGCAGGGCGCCCGAGGAAAACTGATAATGCAGCTTGGTTGGCGGTTCCGTACCACCCTCTCCTGTATCATCACATCAATTTTGCATTGCGTGAGCTATCTTTGTCTCATTCTTTCGCAAATATTCTGTGCGGCAATGCAAAGCAGGCGGCAAGTGCGCGCGCAGCGTGGCGGAACAATCTGCCTTCGCTGACTGCAACGCGACCACGCGGTAAAGTGCCAGCGTGTCTAATGGAGGTTCGTTGGGGTTGGTTGGTGGAATATGTTGTTGTTGCAGTGTACAGTGCAGTAGCCACGAACGCAGAGTCTCCTGGGTGGTGCAGACACAAGCGTTACGACGATTTTGGTGTTTTTTTCCTACCTCCGTAGTTTTCGGCCCTCATCGCGAGAGAGCTTAAGCGCCAGTTGGGCTTCTCAAGCGCCCACGGGCTGGCGCTAACACTTACCATCGCCTGTTGAGAAACATCGTGCGCCCATCATCCACAGGTCTCCGCTGCCTTCCCCTCGCGCGTGTTCCTCTCGGCGAGGGCAGGGCCAGAAACTCCGGGCAGAGCATCTTGTGGGCCAGAATGCAGGAGGAGAAAAGTCACACGTCGGCGTCATCCCAATATACTTATACCATATGTGCGTCGCCCCCCCCAGGGACTACGCGCGCACCGAGAAAATCTAGTAGTATATGCGTCGTGGCGGGCGCTTTCTGGCCACACCGTTCGGGAAACGATCTACGGCAAGATAGGTGTACTACATGTGCGAGTCGGGCGCGCGCCTCCACGGATAACATATAGTGCTAGTAGGTCTTCGTGCGTCCCAGCACAGACACAAGTCATCGTCGGCTCCCCAGAAAAAAAACAGGGGACAAGATGGGGAGCGGGGGGGGGGGGCGACAGCCCAGAAGATATGGAGAGATCTGGGGAATCCTGTCATCAGTGCCTATGCATTTCTGTGTCCCGGGGCCCCTTCAGTCTTGGGCAGGAGCGCGCGCGGAATCAGGCGGCGCCGCGGGCGGGCCACGGCGCCCAGGCGATGGCAGGGCTCAGGGGGGGAGGCGTGCTCGAGGGTCTCGGACGTGCTTGCGTCTGCTCTCGGCGGCGTTCCAGCCTCGTGGTATTCTCTTCCTGGGGGGGAGGCGTGCTCGAGGGCCTCGGACGTGTTTGTGCCTGCTTTCGGCGGCTTGCGAGCCGCGTGGTGTTCTCGTCCTTTCCGTTTTCGCGCGGCGTCCCCCCCCCCCCCCCCCTTCTATCCTCGCGCGCGACGCCTAGCTAGGGATTGCCCCGACCCTGAACTCCGGACGTTGGCAACTTTCCCGCATCGGGCGTTTTCGTCCGGTTTCGGGCCCCGGCGCCTTCACAGATCGACTTGGCTCGAGAAATTCAGCAGAGGTGTCTAGGGCTTTGGTCGTGATTTTTTTTGATGTTGCAATTTTGTCGCAGCGTCGGATCTCAGGGGACTCCGACGTCACCGATTGCTTGTCGGACGCCTCTCTGCACGTGTTCTCGTTTCGAGTTGGGCGAAGGAGGAGATGAGGAAAGGAGGGGCTGCGACATCTGCTGCACACAGCTGGTTTCGGCACCGCCGCTGGGCGCCTTCCCTAGATACGTCAGCGCCGGGAGGTGCTGGAAAAATCAGCCACTTGGGCTGCATTGCTAGCCCCCTCTTTACTACGCCCCCCATTTCGTCCGACCCACTCGTTGCGAATGGGCATGCGCCGCCGCTTGGTTCGAACCGCGCGTCAGTTCGTCCCTTTTGCTGTTGGTCGGGGACAGCCTTAGTTTTGTCATCATTCTTGCCGCCCTCCCTGCTGGTGGGCGCGTTCGCCAAGCGTTTGCTTGCACGTTCGCTGTGCGCCGCAAAGCGCGCTCTTTACCCTTTCGCCCCGCGCTGTTGCGATTGTGCTTGTACTTCGTCGCGCCCGTGTTGATTCTCGATCTTTTTTTGCTCCTCGGGGCGAGGCGGTCTCATAGCCACGGGGCTGCAGCGCTTCATCGACGGACGCAACGGAAGCCAGCGAAACCGGGCGAGGGCGGCTACGCTGGCGGATGTGTGGTGGGAGTGATATCCCGCGTGCACGCCGCAGCCCCCAGGACATGTCGAGGCCGGCGGGCTTATCGTTAGACCGAGGGGAGCGAATGTCAGGAGAGGAAAAAACGCACAGACACAATTAATCCTCGATTCCGCAGAAAATATGGGAAAATATGGGAAGTGGGGGGGAAGACAGAAACCCAGAAGATATGGGGAAATATGGGGAATCCTTTTGTTTGCGTGTATTTATCTGTGTGTCCTGGGGCCCCTTCATTAGTTTCGTTTCCCATCTCCAGACATGGGCTTATCGTTAGACTGAGTGGGGCGAGTGGTCGTTCGCTCTCCCTGGGTGCGTGGCTGAAGCGGAGTGCCGCGGCACGGATTCTGCCTGCCGTTGTCGCTGCTGCTGCTGCTGCTGTTGCTGCTGCTGCTGTGGTGGTGGTCGTTGTTCGGGGTTGGACAGACCTCCTACCCTGAACGGGGAAGGAGTTTTAAGGCATGCCTTTAGACTCCCGAAGCCTCTGGCCACGACGAGTCCAGAGTTTCGCTAGAATAAGTCTCCGCAAAAAGAGGGACCGTTGCTCAGGTCCGGGGTGGTTTGCATCCGCTGCGCCTCGTCGATGGCGTTCCTGGGGTGCCAGAAGTATCCCGAAGGGCCGCCGGACAGCCCAGCTATGACCTGAAAGCGGGGGGACAGCGACAGGGTGGGGATAGGCTCAGGAGGATTCCATCGACCCCCAATCGCCCATTGATCACCCCGCTCAGAAACTTGCGGATACTAGTAGGGGGTGGACAGAACCCCCAACAGTGACACGTCGATTAGTGAATTGTCCGTTTTCGGTTCTCGAGAGGGCGCCGCGGCCGTCATTTTCCAGGCTTGCGCCCGCCAGGTTTGGGCCCGAGGTCGTTTTCACCAAACCACGTTTTACTAAAGGGAGGTCTGTCCATCCCCGAGTTGTTGTTGTTGAGTCCTCATTTCTACGTACAGGATTTTTTTTTCCCAATTCAAGTGCTCCTCCCAGGGCTCGATCTTTTTCTATGTCGGGGAACGCTTGTGGTCACCAGATTGCCCCCTCTGGCCCACTGTTTACTACAACAACAACGGCAACCGCCTGATATTTACTCACATTTTACTTCACATTCGCGCTCTCGCTCGGGACTTCCTCATACTTGATCCAGGAAACGCGCTCTCGCGTGGTACTTCCTCATCGTTTACCGCGGCGCGGTGCCTCCGAGGCTCACAAATCATGATCGCGCTTTGGATTTCCAAGCGATTTTCTTGGGAATCTGGAGTTCGATCGACATTTCCTTCATTCTGATGGGTTGGCGCTTCAGCGACCCGCCCGTGCGACCTGGTCCCCTGGGCCCGCCCGCCCGACCTGCCCCCGTAGGGGTCCGCCCGCCCGACACGCCAGGCGGGCTCCGCCGCTTGTGCTGCTGCTCCTGGCCGTCCTCCTACAAATCTCTCTTATCGTCCCGTCCAAATGGGCGCGGCTCTACTCGAAGTGGAGCCGGATGGACGCTCGCTTCGCTTCGCTTCGCTTCCTACAAATCTCTCTTGTGCTCCATCCTTCTCCCTTCCCTTGTCTCTTCACTCCTCCCCTCCTTCCCCTGTTTTAGGGGCTGCGCCAACTACACGCGGTAGGTAGGCGAAATGTACGCCCAAGGGGGGGTACGATGGAAGACGAGGAGGGCGGGTGCCGAGGGTCTGTGATGTACGTGTTGGGCGGCGTGCGAGCATATTAGGGCGAACAGTCTTCAACTGTTTGCTGTTGTTGCTGGTACTGTTGCTGATGCTGATGCTGTTGGTGTTCTGGTTCGTGTTGTTGCGAATGTTGTTGTTGCTGCTGATGTTGCTGCTGTTGTTGTTGTTGTTGTTGTTGTTGTTGTTGGTGTTGTTGTTGCTGTTCTTGTTGTTGTTGGTGTTGTTGTTGCTGTTGGTGGTGGTGGTGCTGTTGCTGGTGGTGTTGTTGTTGGTGGTGGTGTTGTTGTCGATCTTGAGTTCCCAGTTCTAAAGAACAGCGATTGTTGATCCCCCACTCTGGGGCCCTTCCTGGTGCTCGCATCCTGTTTTTTTATAAGGGAACGCGAGGGGTCACCGAATCGGGTCCTTGGCCGCCGAGTTACAACAACAACAACAGCAATGGCTCCCGCCTGCTACTTCCTCACAATGTATTCCCAAATCGCGCTCTCGCGCAAGACTTCCTCGCAAGTTATGCAGGAATCGCGCTCTCGCGTGGGACTTCCTCGCAGTGTATTCAGACGCCGCGCCCTCGACACTCAGGAATCGCGCTCTCGCTTTGGCCTTTCTCGCGATTTACTTCGGAATCGCACTGTCGCTCGAGCACTCCTGGCGATTCATGCAATTTTTTTTTTGGTGCGCTCATTCGAAGACGAAAAGTCAGTCAGTTGGTCGACCTCCTCGACTTGGCCGCTTGCGCCCGCATTCCCGACCCGCCCGTCTGGTTCTGCCATGTGTTTTCTGCTCCTAGCCCTCCTAGTGCTGATTCTCTGGCTTACGCCACACCGCCGACCCCTTGGGGTGCTTTGTTTGGGTGCGTCGGTTTTTTTTGCGGGGCGGGCCCTGGGCAGTCCGG